TAGCGTTCGACTTACGCATGACATGACGAGAGTGGATACTCGCGACATCAGCGCTTACGGCGTCGTAGTGTTCAACTTCACATTGGCGTTTTCGTTGCATTTGTACGGATTTACACCCGTGTAGCCTAAAGAAATTTTTACACCCATATCGCGCCTAAAGAAGTTTTACTTCAAAAAGTAAATGAACAGTCTACAAAAGTTTTTTATTTTTGTAATAAAAAATGCCAATAATTTTAATTATTAAATTATATCAAGGACTACGCTCATGGCATTTTTAATCATTGAAGCAAATGCTTAAGATTTCACAAAATAATTGATTAAGTTTTTTAGAAAAAATGTTACGACGATGTTCATGAACAGTCTTACAAGAATAAGTTGAATTATATAAATTAATTAAGATTTAGAATAATAGGCTACAAGTTTAGGACATATAAATACAATTATATATGTATATTTTTTTTTCATTTTGGATATAATTTACATCTGTCCAATGAACATTAGGTAAATTTTATGAATAACAAAATAACAAAGAAGATGTCTGCAAAATAAACTATTGAATGCTTGAGAGAGTGCACAGTTGCAACTCTCCTAATTTAAGAAAAGATTATGATCTAGATTGACTTGGAATACCAGTTAGGTCCAAAGGCGTTTTCCTTTCAATTCTTTTGGTGTAAAATACAATTATAAATAATTACAGATATTATAAATGTATTTGAAAGATATAATTGGAAATCGCAATCTTTAGATTTCATTAAAAGCAAAAACTTTTTTGAGATAAATAGTTAAAAATTTTATCTAAACATCTGAATTCGAATTTCAATTGATAAAGTCAATTATTACACCCATCGGAAAGTTTTCGCAACTTGCATTAGGGCAAAATGCCACTTTCAACTAGTTTAGTATAAATATATATATATATATATATATATATATATATATACATATATAATGTGCCAACGCCACCCACGAAACTTGAAACGCCAAAAATGTTTCCTTTTAATTTTTTGAACACGCCTCGTGCACGAATAAGGTTACAAAGCCCTGTAGGCCACATTTAATTTGTGAATTTTCGAGAATTTAATTACGGAGTGGTCTGCAAACAACATTTTTCAAATACTTCAATTTATACACACAATTTGCATCCGCAGATTTGTTTATTACCGAAAACACCTCAACGGTATTTTCTGTTGTGTAAACATGTCAAGTTCACACAAAACAGATCGTTCCAGTAAATGTTCTATTTTTGTTCGAAGACTTTATAAATATCGATGGTTAAGATAATTTTGAAAGATTCTTTATGCAGATCAATATTGTAATTGATTTTGATAGAATTTTGTAGAATGGACTTCTAACAAAGATACATTTGTTGAATGTAGCAAATATATATAATACAAAATTTTTAATAATTTTATTTAAATCGTTGTAAGTGCGAATAGTTTTGGAAGTTGTAATGATTTTTTTTAATATGACAATTATTCTGAGGTCACTACTGCTTGATATCAGGCTGTCCGACGTGCGAATTAAACCTGAAGCATACATGCAGGCTTAATTAAGCCCAAATAAGTCTTACCGATTTAAATATATTTTACAAGTTTAGAACAAAACAAATAATAGTTAATAATTTTAGAGATAAGTCTGATAGATTTATGTTGTAAAGAAAATGATAAGCAAATTACACATTAAAATTTTCCGCCGAGAAAACAATAACTTATGTATGAATATTAAAATATTGTTTTATGCGACTGAAAGAAAACCATCCAAATTGTGCGCAAATAAGTATAAATGTTCTAAAAGTAAAAATGATAATTATTTTATATATTTCATTTGAATTATATATAATTGCGCCTACAAAATTTGTACCCAAGTATATGAATTTATTACCGGCATAATAATTATGTATGTTCATAATATTTATCATTCATTTATAACATCTTTATGCAAAACTGCTAAATAAATATGAAAAATTTAAATAGGTAATTACATAATCCCAGGTACGCAATAGAACAGAGAAATTTAAATTTTGTTGTACTCCATTGAAACTTTGTATTTTTTAATTAATAAGAATCATTTTTAGAAATAAATTTATCATTTATTTATAAATTTATCACTATTTTCATTGTTTTAATAAACTTCATATATATTAGATAAAAACTTCATATATTTAGATGCTTACTCATTGTTATTATTATTATTTTTAGAGTTATTCTCAGCAGTTGATTTTATGATTTTCAAATTAATAATATCATTAGTATGTATAGATTTATTATTATTATTCAGAAATAGAAATTTGTTATTTTACCATAATTTATTATAATGATATCTAAAAAGATTATTTATGCTTATTATTTTAGTATATTCTCATATTATTGTGTATAAATTAATAAGAGATAACTACATTTACTTGATATTATCTTAGAAAATTATTAAAGGTAAAATATGAGATATAGCATATATCACACATCTTTTTACTAAATACTAAGTTATTAAAAATTTATAAAATCTTATATAAAAATTTGAAAATAAAATTTATCTGTATCATCTTTTACTTTGATTTTTAGTTTTAAATGAAAGTTTTTTCGTAAAAGTAGACAAACTTGTATAAAATTCAAAAGATTGCGGCTGATAAAATCTTTGATACTTGAAAATAAAAACTATTTTATAATTTAGAATTTTTATACTTTAATATTTATTAGAATCAATTTATAAAAATGCTTCATTTTTATGGGAAACTGTTTCCGAATTTCATACTGCTCAGTTTTGTATAATTAAAATTAATGATGTGTGAATATTTCATATTAAATCATATAGTATGTATTCATTATCTTATGTAATGAAACGTGCAATTTTCAAACGTATATGAACTGACAGAATCAACATCAAAAGAATACAAATGGTATTATAAATTATATATATATATATATATATATATATATATAATTATTAAAAGATAATTGCTTTATTACCACATGCATTGCGATTTTTCTGTAATGAAACAGTCTCAAATACTTTCATAAATTAAAAATGTGGTTTTATGTACATCTTTATTTTTAATTAGTATTATATAAGATTTTTTTAATACGTTAAATGGAATGTCAGACACACAAGAAAAAAAATGTAATATTTAGTTTAGTAAATTTAGTAAATTTATACAGAATTCCCTGTGTTTCCTAATAAAGTTAGAGATAAATGACATACAATTATATTTGCTGTAAATACTGTTTTTCTAGCAATTTTAACTTTTTTCTTGATACATTGGGTTTAATTTTAAGTTTTAATACGTCGATGGCCATGATAATTTAAAAAAAAAAATTCACATGATCCATGAAAACTTTATTACATAATTTAGATAAAAATGCATATAAAAGACTGAATGTGTCAAAAAAATTTTTTTTTGTAAAAATAATTGGAAAAGTACTATTTTTTATGTCACATGTATGACCAACATTGCCCTAATTATAACTTTTTTTCTCCGTTTACCTATTTCCAGGTGTCAGTCATATATGTCTAACAAAGGTTATTTGTAACTTTTCAGTGTCAGACATATGGCGAATATTGTTATAGATAGTAAATAAATAACAATAAAAGTTTAATACAGATATCAATTCAAATACTGAAAAAAATAAAGTTTTCTAATCAAAGTAATTAGTTTTCCATACGTTTCGAATCTTAATTTTACTCTTTTTCAGTGCATTTTTTTTTTTAAAAAAAGACAAAAAGTAAACAAACAGTAAGCAAAATGCTTGTATAATGCGGAAGGGAGATATTTGACAACCTAATATTTAGGAGTTATAAATGTATTTTAAAAAATAAATAAATATTAACACCTTAATCACCACGATATCAAAAATAAGAGATCACGTGGCCCATGACAACTCTATTAGACTATTTAGTATCAAGGGAATTAGACAACTGTACCATGGGAATTTAACCATTTCCACTCGGATGCCGCCTAAATCTCGGAATTCACTAGTGGAAAGGGTTAATATATTTAAGGAAACTCGTTTTTGCCAATTTTTTTATTATGAAAAATGATTTATGATACATATATAACTAACTGATTGATTAGATGTTAAAAATATATAAAATCTTATTCTAAAAAAATGAAAAAATAATTGATTTTATGCAATCTTTTTTTAGTTTGATATTTAAAAGAAATAATTTTTCAAAAGCAATTGACTTGTATAAAATGCATTGGATAGTAACAATAAAAAATCACCTTTAGATACTTGAAAATAAAAACTATTTTATAATTTAGATGACATGGTCCTATATCAAAACTTTTTTTCTCGACAAGCCCAGAAATTTTTAGGACAATTTGTCAGACATGTATGACGTGACTCATGCTACAGTTGTTAGTATCAGACATATATGACCGACATTACGGTAAACGTGGTAAAAACAACATATTTATGATAAACGTACATTTATCCAGAAGAAACAGCTAAAATAAATTAAAATATAAACAATAACTTTAAATGGTTACAAACAAAGGTCAGTTACAAACAAAACTAAGAAACAACGGTTGGGTTTGTTTTTCTAATAGTTGGATGAATGATGACTGTATAAACAATTATATTAATATACTAGCATACCCGGCCACGCGTTGCTGCGGTTTTTTATTTGATCTGATTGAAATTTGAATCTCATTAACAATCAACATTTCAAAACGTTTTGTTATAAAAATTTATATCACTCCAAAAATAAATAAAAACCGGATTGAAATAGAAATCTGATGGTTCAATACTGATTAAAATGCTTCTTTATATTTTATTAACGAAGAAAAGAAATTAATAAAGTTTTGAATAAAATAGCACATTACTAAATTTATAATAAATAACCAAGTGACTTTTCTAAATGTGTTAAATCCTATTTGGTGTACTGTCCTATTTATCTTTTTAACATTTTAACATGTCCTATGATTACATATATATATATATATATATATATAATCTAATTTACGATTTAATCTAATTTTCCATAACACAAAATAATTTATTTACCCATCAGAAAACACATCTAAGCTACATCATAAACACATGTTGAAGATCCAACACAAACGAAAACTTTTTCAGTAAATTTGATCACTTCAGCACTTGAACATTCACAAAATAATTGAAATGTATTTGTAACCAAACTAGATGTGAATAATTACATGAAATTTATGGAAATATTTAAATACTGCATTTAATATTCAAACGAGAATGACGATGACAATGACGATAGTCACACTTGGCTGCACGAAGCAAACTGACGCCAATTTTACTACGAGCGCCGGCGGATACGATTCCCCACCAGGACGCCTGTTACGCAGTCATATAATAATATATAGATATATAGATATATACATGTATATATGTATATAATATATTATATATTATATATTTGATACGGTATCTTTTGTCGTATCGTATATAGAAATCTAAATTACGGTTCAAATTGACTAAAATATTGAATTTTTAGTACGGTGTAGATAGATGAATATTTTGATGCTGCAGCTATACTAGTAGTGTTGTGAAGAAACACAAATGACAAATGAAATTTTTAACTTCCCGTAGGGTAGTTATAGTAATGGGCCGAAAATCGAAAATGAAAATTTCTGCATTTAGCGACGTTTTGAAGGTTTCTGAACATTTTGGCATACCTCAGACAAAATTGATGTGTGTGTGTGTGTTTTGTATGTCCACATGTTTTCGTTCACGTTTTCGGGCGCACGGATCAACCGATTTAAATGGTTCAAAAAACATTCTATTTCTATTGATAGGGAAATGTGTTGATTAGTTTTTGGAAAACGCAGTTCCAGTAGTTTCGGAGATACGGAGCAAAGAGTGCAGATAATACAAACGAGTTTTTGAGAGAACGGAGTATCGGGTTTGAATGATCTAAAAAACATTCAATTTGTAAATAGAAGTGGTGATTAGATTTTGGCAAAGGCAGGTCAAGCCGTTTTCGAGATACTGAGCTAAATCTGCAAAAAATGGTAGTTTTTGAGAAAAATAAGCATCCGATTTGAATGATTCAAAAAACTTTCTGTTTGTGTTGATAAAATGATTGCTTTTAGGGAAAAAACAATTTTTTGTCACAATTTTCTTTAATTTCCCAGAAAAATGTAATTAAATTTTATTCTTCTGTATGGTTTAATAACTAGTTTAATAGCTTGTTTTGTTTTGTTTTTATAATTTATACATAATTCTTTTTAATTACAAAAACATAGGCTCAACTCATGGTTGTCTAGAGCAATTGTGTTTTAATTAGGTGTCTATCGATTCTAGCCTGATGTCAAGCATTAGTGAGACATCGGTTTTTCTGGATACCTTAGAAATACCGATAGCAATATGTTCCAAAATAAAAATAACGCTCATCTGGCATTACTGGATGTAATTGAAAATGTAATAATAAAATTTAACACCCAAAAATGAGCAACTATTTGGATTGCCACTAGTATTAAGTTAAAATTGTAGTTCAAAATAATATTTTTTTACAAAAACATCTACAACTATCTTAAGTTATGAATACACAAATATATACTAAAATTCTAACAAGTAAAAAATTATAAATAAATGTCTTACAGTGGTAAAACTAGGTGTAAGAGCATTTTTTTCTGAGGCAAGATGCATGAATTTCCTGTTATCTTATATATAAAAATGGATCGCAAAATGTGTTGGTAAGCGCATAACTCAACAACGCCTGGACCAATTTGGCCAATTCTTTTTTTAAAATGTTCGTTGAAGTCCAAGGATGGTTGTTACGGCGAGAAAAAAACGAATAATTGCCGGGAAAACCCTAAAAACAGCCCTTTTCTTCTTTAATCGAGTAGGCAACGCAATTTGTAAAAAAAACAATGATCTATGTCATGACATTTTGTGTAGTTTTTGATAATATAATTTTGAATATATTTATATATACATAGAAATATCTTTCTATTAATCAAGCTATATTGGCAGCCAAAAACATTGATGTAAATTAATTAAATTTCAAAATTCAAGAACAAATTACAGGTGAAATAGTTGATTCGGCAACTAACCAAGACGATCCACTGGAGTTTTTAAACTCGCTGGATTTGCTAGGATTGTCACCTCACAATCGGCAATTATAATGTTGCGAAATATCGACCAACTATATTCAAAGGATAGTATAAAGCAGAAGATGTTCTCGCACCATGCATTCCAATGCGTTTCCAGTGCGTTTATGGTATCATTAAGTGTTTGTGGTATTAATTTAGAAAACCCATGTTTTCACATGGAAAATTGTATGTTGTTTGTTCCCGTATTGGAAAACCATCAGATTTGTTTGTCTATGCGCCAGGTAATCAAACAAAAAACATCGTTTATCACAAAGCACTACAATGAAAATTGAACTGATTTTTGAATTATGATTTACATTATTAAAATTACTTACTTTTAAATGCTTATAGTGTTTTATTTAATTATTTTTAATTCACACCGAATTATTACCAGGGTGACGGTTCTGTTCAGGATAATTTTTTGCAAAGAATAGAAAAAAGATAGGCACAAAACACCGCCACATTACAATTTTTTTTGACAGGACGAAGTCTGTCGGGCCGGCTAGTTTGTTATAATTATGCTAATCAATAAATACTTGATTTGTATATGAGCCTACTTGTTTAACTGTCTATCTGTCGACCTGTCTAGCTCGTTACTACAATATTTCTATATATATGTATGAATCAATAATAATAATTTCTAATAATTATTTCACACTACAAAATGTCACTTTAATACTATTTTTCTTTCAACTCCAAAACGGCTAGACAAGTCTTAGCAAAAATGTAATCAATTTTTCACTTCATCAGTGCAAGTAAAATGATATTTGAATCATTCAAATCGGATCCTCTATTTTCTCAAAAACTGTCATTTTTAGCACTTGTTGCTCTGTATCTCCCAAATGGATGGAATCTGTCTTTGTAAAAAACTAATTAGCACGTTCTCCATCGATGGAATTCGATTTTTTTTTTGAATAATTCTAGTTGATTAATAGGTACTCCCAAAAACGTTGACAAAAAATTTTATACACACATACACACACACAAACGCGCACACACATTCATTTTTTGTAAGGTATGCCAGAATGTTCAGAAACTTTTGAATATAATATTAATATTATACAAATAATTTTATTTTAATTTTTTTTTTGCGATTACAGTAACTTATCGTACTAGAAGTTAACAAAAACTTCTGCTGACAAAAAAAAGATGCAAACTAGACAGTGAACATCATTATTCAAAAAATGTAAATTTAGACCTTAAAAATGATGATCATCATCATTAAATGTTGTCAAATGTTGATAATTAAATATTATTTATTTTTAGTTTAATACGCTATTGATAAATGTTTAAACTTACTATGTATTTTGAATTTTAATGTTAAATGTTACAAATTAAAAAAAAAGTTGAAAAATTACCTCCTAAATTGACAAAATTGAATGGTTTCACGACATGGAAACTTATGGTCTACAGCTAAATGAACATCTCCAGGCCATAGTAGTTAAATCATATAAACTCATTAAAGTTTCGAATAATAGGGCTTTTAGAACATACAAGAGCATGTTTGTGCACTATAATTAATCCAGTTACATAATTATACATTATAATTACATATAAGTTTAATTAGATTAATTAGTAATATCTTCGATTAGTATTTAGTCAAAGTAAAAATTGTATTTTCGTTAGAAATAATTTAAAATTTTATTTTGATATTCATAAAAATTGCTATATGATTATTTTATTAATTATTTACTTCAGGCACTTAGTTGTCGATGTCTCCGAGCAAAAACTTATATCACTACTACTTGATGTCACCGAGTATCGATCAGTCACAAAAAAACACATGACGACTCATATGCATCTTTGAGGCATTTCCATGACTATGCTGATTCACTTTTCTTTCTATACATATAGTATGAGAAAGAATTCTATGGATGTCATTGTGAAAGGAAAATAAATGTGGATCAAGTCTATTTTGTGAAAGGGATGACTCTGCACGACATCTTTGGGTGAAAACTAGACTGAACTAGACCAGAACAAAACATACCATTCCATCAGTTATTTGAGACTAACAACATTAGATTTTTCACCAATTACCATATGAGAGTGAAATTTTCTTTACAAACTGTCTACCAACTCTCCGTCTATTACACCATCTGCTACGAAATATGTCTACTACTCGTAGCAACGGTTAGACTGAAACAAAACATACGAACGCGCCTGTTGTTAGAGCGTGACAGCACTAGTGCAATTCAACAAGTGTCCTTTGTTGAGAGTTTGGATCCTTTACTAAACCTCTTTATATAAGTACGGAAACTTAGCAAAATCCTTACTTTGGAAATTCTGACAAAACTGGGAAAATTTAGAGCATGAATTATAGTGGAAAATGTTAGCTTGGAATTAGTTGGAGAATGTTAGCTGGAAATTCTATACGTGAAATGCAGCTACTGTGAAGGATTGAGATAAAGGACAAAGTTGAGGGAAGGTGAGAAATGTTTAAAACGATTAGGCATTGAAAATATTTTTAAATTGCTTCAATAAACTGAAAAACTATTTTATAAAAGCAGTTAAAAATAGTATGGTGTTTCGCCCAGATCAAAATTGATTTCACTAACAAAAAAAAATTCTTTTGATATTTTTCAAACCAATTATTTTCTTATCCTTTCTAGAATCTTATAAATCTACAGAATTCGTGTCACCGTACAATGGCTTATGGGAAGATCAATCGATTCTTCCATAAGCTCCTGTGGAATCCACTTTAAATAAGTACCACAAAGCTCTAAAATCCTCAAAGTTCAATCAAACAAAAGCTCTATGAAACACGTACAAGTTCCGAAGCCGCATTTAGTTCTTTAATCAATAGAATTCGTGACTTCAATTCGAGATGAAGAAAATGAACAACTCGGAGAAAAAAATTGAGTGTACAATCGGATTCGTGATCACCAAAAAATTAGGTAATGAATATTTTAAAAATTCATTGTTGAAATTTTTACAATGAAGAAAATTGAAAACTGGCACAGGTAAATGATACAAAAAAGGTAGATGAGAGAAAATTATATGAAGTATATTAAATAAATAATATTAGTAATTAACAATATCTACTTTTAGTTCTAAACACAGATTTAAATTTTATGTAATATCATTATTAAATAGTCTTTTTGGTTTTTATCAAACAAAATATTCTGAAATTGCAACATTGTTTGGTATAAAATTGATTTGACGTTCTAATTC